TTGCAAGAACTCCTAGATATGGGCTTCATACGACCAAGCGTATCTCCATGGGGTGCGCCGGTGTTGTTTGTAAAGAAGAAAGATGGAAGCATGAGGATGTGCATCGATTATAGGGAGATAAATCGATTAACCATCAAGAATAAGTACCCACTCCCGAGAATCGAGGATCTGTTAGATCAACTGAAAGGAGCTAAGGTATTTTCCAAGATCCACTTATGATTGGTGCTAGATCATTATAGAATAATAGCCTAACTTCATTTTAATTCTCGGGCTTCTACAACATGATCGAATATTTCTATGCAGTTAGCATCATTAGTTACCGAAATGTTTGAGGGTAAGTGTTAAGGAAATAAATCATGTCAATTAAGCAAGACTATAACTAGAATTTATTTTGTTTCCATTCTTGTACTAGTTACCAAAATGTGGACGCTTGTTATTCTATATAATGAAATAGGAGAAGACGAAGAAACTTAACTTTCTTCTCTCCATTATTTTTATCAAACCGTAACACAAATAAAGAAGAAAACATTAGAAATTTTGTATTTATAAACTCCATTACTTTGAGAGATAAAACTCTACGTGTTATCTAATCGTTAACACTCGTACAATTAAGACTGACTAGGATTTCATTGAGCAAGTAAATCAAATAAATACAAACTAAATATAGATCCATCGACTATGTAAACTACTCGTGTCCAACAATTATTATAAAGTTAAAGATGCATTTGATTCCTACATCTTTATTAAAGACAAGCATATTTGATTCCTAGATATCAAACTATAACGAGTATTATAAAGACATTCACACCTTCCACTATTTGTTCAATGAAACAAAGCCAATAAAATGTCAAATGTGCATAAAATATACATAATAAATATTTGTAATATTTTTACACTTTTTCCAAGTTATATCTTGCACACTATGTTAAACTGAAGGATAATAAATAGCACCTTTTGGAGAGGAATAGAAAATTTTACAACTATATCATTTTCAACAGCTGAATGCCGAAATACCTGTAATTGAAAGTAACAAATCACACTTATGTATTACATTATGTTACATTTTTACTTACCAACCACGATAGGAACCAAGGAAATTATTCATGCATTCTTGGAAATTTTATGTTACAAAGTAATATAAAGTTAATAACTTTGAATTAAATGGATAAGTAATTAGTTTCAAGATGAAAAAAAAATTATTTTACTTCCTTTTTTCTTTTAAATTTTGTTTATTGAGTATAATTATAAATTAGAAGATGAAAGCTAATAATTTTCCTTTGTCCATTTTACAATATTGGCAAAAAAATATCATATGAGATGATATGATGCGTTCAAAATAATTTATTATTCATTTCAAGTTGAATTTCAAGGAAAATAAAGACAATAAATTTTGTAAATCTCAGACAAAGACTATCTCTAGAGTAATATAATTTTCTAGAGGAAATTGCACTACATGAAGATTTTTGGCTTCACATTTTCAAAAAGTGTCACTTTTTAAAACTCTTTACAAGATTGCCATCTTTTGATATTTTTGCCCTTCTAGATAATCTAAATAACCTACATGTCCTTCATTAAATGAGATTTGACTCTATGAAAAATTGTATAAAAAACTGAAGAAATGTCACATCTAATAACTCAACTTTTAAATTTTAAAAAAAAAAGTGAAACAAAAACAAAAAATATAACTCAATCTATTATTCAAACTCACTAACCCTAAATTCACTGCCCTTCTCTCTCTTTTGAATCGTCAAAAGCCCATGCCGTCGACAACCACCATTAATCAGTTCACTGCCAATGAAGACCATTAATCTCTTGAGATTTGTTTTTCTTTTTATTTTTGCATTTTTTGCTCTCTTCTCTTCTATTTCTCACATTTAGGGGTGTTTGCTTTTTCATTGTTCACATTTTTTGTTCTGATTGATATAATATGCTTTATTTTTTCAATTTTTGTTGTCTATTTTTCCAGATCTACAAAAATGCTAACATTATGGTTTGTGTAAGTTATTTATGAATTTATTTCTTATAACTACTTTCATTTTAAAAAAGTGTTGCTACTTTCATTTTAAAAAATTAATTGCCTTGTAGAAGCTCAAAAAATAAAATGAAATTTGGCTCATATTGTTATGTGATGATCTAGCACCACGAGCCTATCCCATAGATGAGTCTTATGCTCGACCTACATAAAAATGAAAGCCGAATACTAGTCAAATGTGTCTTAAATAAATTTATTTACAATTTTATGGTGGTTCAACACGCAACACAAGTCCGACCATCATACCTCAATCCATACGGACCTAAGCTTCACACGAACGATTGTACCTTAGACAAGCCTTAAAATTTATATAACAATTTATTTTAATTAACTATACTTTTAGCGAAAAGCATAAAGATTTAATTTAGGAATTTATATTTATCCTTTTGTTTTTCCAACACAACTTAATACTAAAAGAAACAATGAAAAGAATATCTTTAGAATGATTTTCATGCATATATATCTATTGCTGATGTGAACATTAAATGCAGGAAATGAAAAAAAAAACAATATTGTTGTTGTACATTCCATTTCGATCAGCAATTATCAAATAAATTCGTTTTCATAGCTATCAACTCCGAAACTTCATGAAATTTTAATATAAGGTATGAAGCCCCTTATAATATGATATATCTAAAAATCAACTTCCATCGTCAACATATGGGTTATTAAAATATTTTTCAAAACCCCGCAGCAACTTGGTTGGATGGTAAACTAGTGCAGTTTACTTAAAATGACATATAAAATTCTATGCACATCAAAACCACATGATTTTATATTTATTCAGTAGCTAATCCATGAGAATATCAAGACCAATTGGTTTCATTCGGAAATTTCAAGAATGATTGAGTTATGAATTTTTGAAGTCAAGACAAAAGCTGGAAAATAGCAACACTATCTAGTGCAGTTTACTTTAAGTGACATATAAAATTCTACCGACATTGGATTGACATGATTTCAAGTTTATTCAATAGCTAACCTATGAGACTATCAAGCGACACTGATCGTGTCTAAAAATTCTAAGTAATGATCGAGTTACAAATTTTTAAAGTCAATGTAGAAGCTGAAATTTTTAAGGAACAACAACATTTAAATCGCTAATAACTATGATTTGAAAGATAATTTCTAGAACATGTATCTTTTTGAAAAGCATAATTTAGTCATAAAGAAGTGTTCATAGAATAGTTCACATACGACGTCCATGGAAATCTATTTAAAAGTAAACGTAAACATTTTCATAATATAATTAAAGACGTTAAATCGCCAGCTTCTCCATGGCATATTGCATCTTTATCTACCATCATCCGTGCTTCCAAGCAAAATCAATCAATCTATAGGAAAGGGATTAACCCATAAGTTTAAAACTCAATAGATATCATAGGTGCATTTCGCTATTAAAATTAGAAATTTTGAACTGTAGATTCATACCATCACATGTAGATGAATTTTCACCAAAATTTGATTTTCTATAGCATTATCATAACACGTAGAGCTAAAGATGATCATTCAAACTATAGCAGTATCGAAATACTGTAGCCGAAGGTACCATTTCAATCAAACTATAGTAGTGCCGAAACATCGTACCCGAAGGTACCAATTCATTCAAACTTTTATCGAAAAATCATAATTTGAAAACAAAATATGCACTTGCACCTCTACCTACCTTAGTTTGAAACTTTGAATTGGATGTGGGATCTTGTTTCCCGACTGCACCCGAAGCTTAAGAAATTTGCTCCTCCCTTATATTTTTCTTTCTTTACTTTTGAAAGCTTTTCTTGTTCAAAGTGTATTGTGAATAACTCGAAGGAATGAAAAATAAATCCTAAATTCTAGAAAAAAACATGGGCAGCAAATAAATTGAAGAAATTTAAAAGCATTTTAAAGAGTTTAGGTTGCATTCCATGCCTTAAATTTGAAAATGAAAAGTATAGAAATGGTAGCATTCATGCTTCCCAATTAAAGACAATTTTCAATAGTTTATTTGGTGAATTGTAAGTTTCATCTTAACATTATTTTGGTACATTGAAACCTGTGATACGTGTGTGTATGTGTGTTTGGAATTTAAATTGTACGTTTCATTCCAAGAATATAATTAACTTGAAGGAAATGGAGAAAAGTCTAGAAAGGACAGCCCTTCATTGAACATTTTAGAAAATAATTGAAGAATTGTTTAGTTTTCTTTTGATTACTTTTTTTTTTTAATTTACTGTTTCCCATCTTAATTATCATTGACCAATTAATAGAATTGAAGATAGTTTGCCATTTCATTTCATGCATTTAAATTTGCTGTTAAATGTCTTGACCATTCCACCAAGTTTTGAAACTTGTTTGACTAGCTTTGAACATTCAACCATATTATATATAAAAAATGTCTTTTTATTTGGAAGATGAAATGAATTGTCATTAAATAAATTTTATCCTTGGTCCCTACAATAATTTATTCACTTAACAAGTTAAGAAAATATCAACATAAATCCCCAAGTAAAAATCTATAAAATCTCTTTTACTTCTTATTTTTAAACTTATGATCTAGTCCCTATAAAAAAAATAACATGTAAGCAAATCTTGTCTTGGAAATTTTACTGTACGAAATCTAAATTTTAATTGTAGGGTACAAACCGTGGGAGACATTGAATCCGTCATAACTTTTTCAAATATATATATTTTTTAAAAACATGGATGGTGGTCGGACTCAACATGTTGAACCACCATAAAATTGTAAATAAATTTATTGAAGACACATTTGACTAGTATTGGGCTTTCATTCTTATGTGGGTCGAGCATAAACTCGTCTATGGCTAGGTTCGTGGTACTAGATCATCACATAGTAATATGAGCCAAATTTCATCTTATTTTTCAGGCTTCTACATCCCTTACACCTTAAACAAAATTTCGTCCTCGAAATTTTTCTTATGGATTGGCCTCTAGAGAGTGTCGGATATTTGTCTTTAATTTCTTCTTTTCCTTCTCAATTAGCTTCTTCTATTCCATGATTATTCAATTGTACTTTGACTAGTGGAATCTCCTTGTCCCATAATTTATGTACTTTTTGATCCAGTATTTTAATCAATAATTCCTTATAAGATAAAGCTTTCTGTACTTGTAGAGATTGATAATTGACCCCGCGATCAAGATCATGCATGTATTTCCTGATCATCGATATATGAAACACGTTATGAACTGCTAATAGCTCAGGAGGCAAAGCTAATCAATAAACCACATTTTCGACCCTAGCAAATATTTCAAAAGGTTCGATATAACAAGGTCGTAGTTTGCCTTTCTTACCAAACCTAAGTACACCCTTTATTGGTGCCACTTTTAGAAAAACTTTCTCTTCAACTTCAAATTCTAGGTCTTTTCTTCTGGTACCTGCATAACTATTTTGTCTATCTTGTGTGACCTTTATCCTAGTACGGATCTTATCAATGGCTTCCACAATCCTTTTAATGATTTTTTGTTCTAAAACTCACTTTTCTCTGATTTCATCCCAATGAACAGGCGATCTGTATCTTCTACCATATAGAGCTTCATACGGTGCTAGTCCAATAGTCGTCTGAAAACTGTTAATATATGCAAATTCCACCAAAGGTAGATATGATTCCCAATTTCCACCTAGATCTAGAACACAAGCCCTTAGCATATCTTTTAAAGTTTGAATGGTCCTTTCAAACTGACCATTGGATTGAGGGTGATACGCCATATTGAAATTCAATTTCATTCCAATAGCTTCTTGAAATCTCTTCCAAAACTTTGACATAAATTTGGATCTCTATTGGACACAATAGTTACGGGGACACTATGCAATCTTACAATCTCTCTAAGGTACAACTACGCTAGCTGACCTAAATGTCATTTTTACCGAAAGAAAATGAGCGGACTTTGTTAGACGATCCACTATTACCCATATAGCATTGCGATATTCTCCCACTTCAATTCAAGTATATCCAATGGATTTAAAACCCTACCAGTCTTTGATGTTCCGATTTAACTTATTGACACACTGTGCATTTTGCCACAAATAAGTCTATACTTCTTTTCATATTCCTCCATCAAAATGTATCTTGAAGGTCTCGATACATTTTTTTACCACCATGATGTACGGTATATGGGGTGGAATAAGCTTCTCTAATATCTCTTTCCTCAAAACGTCATCCTTATCTACGCAAATTCTTCCTTTAAATATCAGTGCCCAATTCGAAGTTGTTCCAAAATCCTTTCTCTTATCAGTACCAATTTTGTTCTTGATCTTCTGCAAGAATAGGTCTTTACTTTGTACTTCTATGATCCGATCTCTAAGAGTGGGTCGAACCATCAAAGTTGCTTAACAAGTAGTAACTTGTTCTTGTGTGGTAATCCCTTCAATTTGCAAAATTTTCAAGTCTTTAATTAACTCTATCTGAGTAGTAGGTAATGATGCCAGCTATCACATCGACTTCCTACTTAGAGCACGACAACAAATTAGCCTTACCAGGATGGTAATGAATAGTGCAATCATAATCATTTACTAGCTCCAATCATCGTCTTTGTCTCATATTCAATTCCTTCTATTTAAAGAAATAAATTGAGACTCTTATAATCCATGTAAATGTCGCACTTTCCTCCATATAAGTAAAGGGGCCATATCTTTAATCTACCGCTGTAAGTTCTAGATCATGCCTAGTTCTGCTCATGATGTTTTAATTGCCTTGATGCAGAGACAATCACTTTTCCATGTTACATTAGTACACATCTCAAACTTTGTTTGGATGCATCACTATATATAACAAATCCTAGGTGCTTTAACCAATCATTGTTTTAGCTCCTGAAAATTTTTCTCATTTATCTGTCCATTGAAACTATACTCCTTTCCTTATCAATTATGTCTTAGGCCAGCTATTGTGGATAATCCTTCTATAAATCTCCGATAGTACCTAGCCAATCCTAGAAAACTTCAAATTTCACCCGCATTAGTCAGTGCCTTCCAATTAGTTACTGCTTCCACTTTTACTAGATCTACTTCAATTCTTTGGGTAGTAACTACATGATTGAAGAATCCAACTTGCTCAAGCCAAAATTCACACTTTTTAAATTTGGCATACAACTTTTGATTGTGCAATATTTCTAGCGCCATTCAAAGATATTCCTCATGTTGATCTTTACTCTTGAAGTATGTCAAAATGTCATCAATGAAAACTATGACAAATTGATCCAAATACTGATGAAATATACGATTCATTAGATCCATGAACGCTGCTAGAGCATTTGTCTACCCGAACGGCATAATTATAAACTCGTAATGTCCATAATGAGTTCTGAAAGTTGTCTTAGGTATATCACTCGCCTTAACTTTCAATTGATGATATCCATACCGTAAATCGATCTTGGATAATACCTTAACCCGATTCAATTGATCAAACAAATCCTCGATTCTCAAGAGAGTATACTTATTCTTAATGGTCAAACGGTTCAATTCCCAATAGTCAATACACATCCTCATACTTCCACATTAGATTTTGAATCTTGATTAAGACTTAAAGATGATCAATAGTTGAAGTTGCTCTTCCCTAATATTTGTTCATTATTTAACTTCTAAATCAATTTTTGTATGCATCGACATATTTTTACGTATTTAGATTAAAAATCACAAAATACAAATCTTTGTTTAGTTTGTCAAATAGTAGTTAAAAAATTAGATTAAGTGCTAAAGTGTAATCCTCGTAGGAATGATAATCCGGACTCAAAGATCCATTATATTATTTGTTCGATATCATACACTTCTGATAGAAAAATGCAACATTTTTCTGTCATGAAATAAGTTCAACTCAAAGTGCTAGATGTAATATCTTTTATGATAGCAATTTAAAGCATTTTCATGTTTTTGTCTTTATAATATTCCCGGTTTTTTTGGCACAGCTTTTCTTAAAATTATATTTTCACAAACTCGTTTTCAATCTCACATTTTCTCGATAAAATAAATTTGTATGTGAACACTTCAGATAATCTTCCTGATTCTATAATCTCACATTCTTAAAAAAAAATCATTTTTTACTTCAGATAATCTTCCTAAACAACACTCAATCGATTGTATATAACAAGATAAGACTGACCTGGAGACACTTCTTTTTTTTAAAAGTTACGATGTTCAGATATTGGACTTGATTGAGTTTTGACCATCAATCCAGTTATTATCAACCACTTATCTGATTTCAGTCCACGTGTCTCTGTGATTTAAAATTTTTATATCAACATTATTTCAATTTCTAGACTGGAAGGATTTGTTTCGAACTAGGAGCAGCTATATGAAGATCACAGTGAGGAATGAGGCATATAAAGTTGAATTGTAATGTTATCAATCCCATTTCCAAGTTGTTTTATGCTGTATTTGTAGAATCAAGTGAGAATTCTACTGTTGCTGAATTGGAAACAACATTGCAGGCTGATCTCTCTCAGTTGTAAGCTACTGCATCCTTTGCTTGTCGACTATGATGAGTAGTAAAAGTAATAGACCCTAGCACCCTACATCTATTCTTCAAGAATTGAATGTACCTAGTAGTCCTAGAAGTCTTCTTAGTGATGAATAATGAATTTCCCTTGCTAGTATGGGCTCCACCAATCTGTCCACTGATGGTGGCGCTGTCAACAAGGAGACATCTTGTGGACAGAAAACTATAGTCCACTGTTGATTATGCTCTTGTTGCTTTTGTTGTTGATGTTAATACGTCTTATGTTATGATGGGATTTGTTTCACCAGATATTGACCTTTTTTCTATCCCCCCCCCTAGAAGTCTTCTTAGTGATGAATAATGAATTTCCCTTGCTAGTATGGGCTCCACCAATCTGTCCACTGATGGTGGCGCTGTCAACAAGGAGACATCTTGTGGACAGAAAACTATAGTCCACTGTTGATTATGCTCTTGTTGCTTTTGTTGTTGATGTTAATACGTCTTATGTTATGATGGGATTTGTTTCACCAGATATTGACCTTTTTTCTATCCCCCCCCCTTTTTGGTGTTTTCTATTTTTTATGTTCTCTTATTTCTTGAAAGTGTCAAGTCTTGCACATTTAGATACACTCTTCATCTCAATTTTATATGTAAAGGGTGTAAAATTTGCAATGGCCAATGTCTCATGATCTACTTTAGGGTACCAATCAAGGGAACTTTAAAAAATAAGAAATACTAGGCTATTTAACTATCATTAGACAAATTAGATGGACAGTAATTCTTAGAACTTTGTTTAGTGGGATCAACTGAGAAAATTTGAAGCCCTTATTCACACTGGGCTTTGCTCAAGGCTTGGCACTAAGCAAGAGTATTAGGTTGTTGTAGAATTCATATTATGTCTTCTGCATAAATCTATATCTTCATAGTATCATGCTACAATGCCTAATTTAAAAACATGCATGAAAATTCAATTTATTTCATGTTTCCTGATATGTTTTCTTGGAGGCTGATTGGTTTGAGGAATTCAAGATGGAATAAAAATGAAGTTAATTTAATTGATACGGTTAAGGAGACGCATCTAGAAGATTGAAGTGTAAAATGTTGAGAAACGATTATCTGTACTAGAATGTAAATATTTGAATATAATGAAGAGAACAAGAAAATAATCAGAGCTGAACATTCGTGGATTTTTTTCCTGTTTCATTTGTATCTTCCCTGAAGTGTTTTATTTATTATTTCTTGGTGGGTTGCGGTGGGGTTGAAGTTTCTCTTCACTTGTGCACTTTATGTACACTTAAACAACTTTATCTATTGTCAGTGTCAGTTTCTCTATTATTCTCAGAATTGATATACTATTTTAATTTTTGTTCTACTATAGTAGTGACAAAGATGTTCTATCTGGTATTTACAAAAGTTCTAGTTGTAATTAGTTTCAATATAGCTATTATTGCATCAACCTATATATGATTGTGACGTTATTCTGTTGCTGGGTTCACTTATTTTGTTTTTGAACATCTCTTGCAGGTCTTAAATCTCACACCATCACATTGTACGAATTAGGAAAACTCGATAATACTTGCATTGTAAATCTTTGCAGGGATCCAAGTACACTAGAGGGAACCAGATTTAAAGGAGAATTGCAAGAATTTGCCAATCATGCATTTAGTCTCCAGTGTATCCTGGAATGTCTAACATCAAGTTGTGTTGTTACTGATGAGGGGGCAACTTTGATATCTTATTAATATTATTATTATTTTTGGTCAATATCTTACATTGCAAGTTTAGATAGTCTATTTCTCGGGACTATGACATTATCACATACATGGTTCTGCTTCCTTATTGTTCTATTTTGCCTGGACCCAAAGGCCCCATTCATGTTGGTCCTCCTTTTCATTCTTCTCTGACTCCCTGGATGAAATTGGTGCTGTATTTTGCTGTAGGCTGTGGACATTTTCTGTAGTTTTAATAAAAGGTCATTGTTTGAGAAAGCTTCCTACACCATTAGCTGGTTGCGAGAAATCCCTTGTGTGTTCTTGGGATGGATCTATAGTTGGAGGTTTGGAAGGGAAATTTGAAGGGAATTTAGTTAAAGGAAGCATACTCTTAAATTTGTTTAAATTCACTTCTCAAATACTTTGCTCTACTGGTGCAACCTTTCAGTAGGTATGACCTCAATGATAGTGGAAAACTTGTTACTTTAGATGTTCCATTACCTTTGAAGAACTTGATGGTTCAACAACAAACATAGGAGAGGAACTGGGGTTATATACCGAGGGAACCTCAAAGTTGGATTAACTTTGAAGTAATATTTCAAACATATAAATTTGTGGAGCACCGGCATTGGATATATTAGCTTATTGAGACTTTTTAAAGAACAAGAATCAGAAAACTTTTCAATTGGTGGTGAGAAGTACGACTAGGTTCCATTGAGTCCCAAATTATGTAAAGATATATGTAGAAGATCGGTTTATTCTAGTTACAGCAAACAAAAATACTAATTGAGCGTCATGATTCAATGCAAGACTCGAGGAAAAAGTTGCGTGATTGACAGCTGAAGACTTATGCAAGTGGAAAATGAAACACACTTAAGGATCCTTCTTCTCCTATATCTGGGGCCTTAAGTGAGCACTTGAGGCTAAAACTTGCTAAACGATAGTGCTGCAGCACTAAAATTCTGAGCTTTGATGGTAATCTACTCAGGTGTGTTCTTAGTTCATCTCATTCTCTGTTTTGTCTATATACGTTATAAATCATGGTAATTTGTCTATTTTTGAAGATATTTATTATTTGTGATTTTCGAAATGTCAGTATTTTTCCTTTACAATAAGAGGGCTAAAACATCTGAGAACGCCAAGGTACGGATGAGGTGCTTGAAATTACAGCAGACAATTTTTGTTCAAACAATATAAATTTGTGGAGCATCAGCATTGGATATATTAGCTTATTAAGGCTTTTTAAAGAAGAATCAAAAAACTTTTCAATTGATGGTGAGAAGTACAACTAGGTTCCATTGAGTCCCAAATTATGTAAAGATATATGTAGAAGACTGATTTATTTTTAGTTCCTGCAAACAAAATTACTTACTGAGCATCATGATACAATGTAAGACTTGAGGAAAAAGTTGTGCGATGTTTGTGCTGAGTACTGGCAACTGGTCTGATTGCGAGACTTCTTTACCAGAAAGAGCAGCCAATGGATTCATCTTAACAACTGAAGACTTATGCATCTTAACAACTGAAGACTTATGCAAGTGGAAAATGGAACGCACTTAAGGATCATTCTTCTCTTATATCTAGAGCCTTAAATGTGCACAAGAGGCTAAAACTTGCTAAATGATAGCGTTGCAGCACTTAAATTCTGAGCTTTGATGGTAATATACTCAGGTGTGTTCTTAGTTCATCTCATGATCTGTTTTGTCAGTATTCATTATAAATCATGTTAATTTGTCTATTTTCAAGATATTTATTATTTGTGATTTCGAAAATGGCACTATTTTTCCTTTACAAAAAGAGGGCTAAAACATCTGAGAATACTAAGGAACAGATGAGGTGCTTGAAATTACAACAGACTATTGATTTTTAAACAAACCTTTATTTTGGCTCTGATTAGGCCCTTGTCATTTCTGCTGATTGCATTGTCACAGATAAATGGCATTTTTGCCTAACAGACAAAATAGTACGGTTGGCACTCTTTTTATGAAGGAAAATTAGCACAACATCACTTGTCAAAGAAGAATACAAAGTTCACCTTTTTTATTGGTAGTAATTGATATGTTTGGAATAATATTTACTAGTGCGAGTTCCTATTGGAAAATGGAAGTGTTTAGGCAAATTTCATAGTTTATGCTTTGACAAAATTATTCGATGAGAATTTGGAAAGTAAGATATGGAGGCAGTGTGGTAGAGTGATAGGAATGTAAAATGTCATATTTTTCATTCCTTTACCTCATGCTTTGGTGATTAATTAACGCCTAAATGTGCTGAGTACCCTTATATTTTGATTTAGGTTGCAAATGGATGATGATGGCATAAATCAGAAGAAAAGAGCGAAAAATGACTAAAGTAAAAGAAATCAAAAGTTGAAGGACTAAAATACAATTATCCAAAAGTTGAACCGGAAGGCAAAACGAACGAGTGAAAGATTTGAAGGTCAATTTATGGAAGACTCAAAGTGTTAGAAGAAGGAAAACTAGAAAAGAAGCCAAGAAAAGAGAAGATAAAAATTCAGGAATCAAAGTGTAACAATTGAAATTATTTTATACTGTGTGCGAGCGCGGGCTTATAGTGGCTCGCGCATGAGACCTCATTCTTGCTTACCAAGAGCAAAATAACAAGGAGGTGGGCGAGCACGGGCCAAAATTTCTATGATGGGCCAGTTTCTTTATTTTGATGAAATTTTACATGGAAACAATATTTTTGACATCATATATATACCTAAAGACACCAGAACGAAGGGAACCTCCTTTTTGACCTAAAGATCTTATATTCTACATATTCTTGGAGGCAAAGAACGCCCCCATTCCCTTCTACTCTATTTTTGCTCTCAGAATTGATTTCTCTTTTGGTCAAAGGATATTGAAGCCTTGAAATCATTTTCAATTGTGAGATCCACCTAATTTTCATTGTTTAGTTTATATTTTCAGTATTGAATATTCTTCTATACTTAATTTTTCATGATTGTTATGTTTAATCACTAATAAGATCCATTAGTTTATCATGTGTTTCAATCTATAGCTAAGTTAAATATCAAATCCGTAATTGTTTGATTAATTTAACTTGCGAAGCAATTAGGATTAGTAATTTGCTGCTTTGGAAAATTATTAAATTTTAGGAAGAATATTTATCTAGGCTAAATGCAAACGCTTGGCTTGTGTTATCTAGTTCATTTATTTCTTTAATTCGGAAAGTCATTATTAAATTAAATTCTAACGCTTGTCTACTATTGTTTGGTAATGAGAATTAATTAGATTGCTTGTGATGTACTTAATTAAAAGTAAGGAGAAATAAGAAATTGTTTCAAATGAGAAATTATTTTCCAACGATGAATACTAGAAGTATGAATTAATTATTTGTGGATCAATGACCAATTGTAAATCTCCAATGGTGGATGTTGACTTAGACCAAGGTTCGTTCTATTGATTTCATTTAATTCGATAATTTGCGTTTACGTTAATTGCTATTTTTAAAAATTATTTGTTTCAAAACCAAAAATCAGATTTTTAGTTAATTTAGCATAAAAGATAGACTAAACACTCTTCGTAGAATGGACCCTTACTTCCACTACTACATTTGTTTTGAGGAGTATAGGTTTTAATTTGAAGTGCCTATGACAGCACGTAACAAATTTTGGCGCCGCTGCCAGGGAGTGATTTAGTTTATTTTTGTGCTTTTTGTTTGTTCACTTAGTTTTTTTTTTAAATCCTTTTCTTTTTTGTTTATTTTGTTTAGTCTAGTTTATTTTTTTTATTAGCTTCCTTAATTGTTATGCCCATAACTCGATCCTCTGGCCAAATTGATTTGCAGTACAATCCAGAATTAGAAAAAAACTTTGCCCATGTTAAGGAGTGGTATTCAATGAAATTTCAAGGGACACATGGCTGGACATCAAACTTTGAAGGAGCTTGCAGCTCCAAATTTGAACCAACAACCTCTTTGCATCACTTTTCCTACTTTAGATGTTGCCACTACTTTTGAATTGAAGTCTGGACTAATACATCTTTTGCCCACCTTTCATGGTCTTGTAGGTGAAGATCCCTATAAACATTTAAAGGAATTCCACGCGGGTTGCACAAGCATGAAACCTACAGGAGTAACTGATGAGCAAATTAAACCGAGAGCCTTTCCATTCTCTTTAAAGGATTCAGCTAAGGACTGGCTCTACTATTTGCCATCTGGAAGTGTCACAACATGGGAGGAAATGAAGAGTATGTTCTTCGAAAAATATTTTTCAGCTTCAAGGGCAAAAAACATCCGAAAAGCAATTGTGGCGTAATACAGGACACTAGGGAATCCTTATATGAATACTAGAAGCATTTCAAATTGTCCATTATTTTCATGAAGGGCTTTTACCCACAGATAGGAGTATGATATGTAAGTGGAGGAGTTTTGGTAGATAAGACTCCCAAGGGCACTAGGAATTTGATTGCAAACATGGCAGCCAACTCTCAACAATTTGGCACTAGACTCGACACTCTTTTTAGGCATGTTAATGAGGTAGATTTTTTATCTCTTGAACAACAACTTACGAGACTAACTTCTCTTGTTCATCAAATGGCTACAGGTAATATACAAACGATGAAGGCATATGGTATTTGTTCAGTGGTAGGACATTCAATTGACATGTGCCCAACTCTTCAAAAAGATGAACAAGTTAATGCAGTAGGCAGCTTTCCTGGACAACCACAAAGGAATTATAACCCTTACTCTAACACCTATAAATCAAGATGGAGGGATCATCCTAATCTTAGCTATGGGGAAAAACAAGTGAATCAACCCAACTTTCAGCAATATAGGCAGCCATATCTTCCTAGACAACAACAAGACCAAACTTCAATTTTCGTTATGTCTCTAGAGGATATTGTTAAGTCTTTGGCCACTAACACTTTACAATTTCAACAGGAAACAAAACAATTCCAACAAGAGGCAAGGGTAAATATTAAAAGTTTGGAGAATCAAATGGGTCAAATGGCAATCGCAATCAACAAGCTAGAAGCACAAGGTTCAGGAAAATTACCCTCTCAAACAATGGTCAATCCAAGAGAAAATGCATGTGCAATCACCCTGAAAAATGGTAAAAAGGTTGAGATTCGAGTAAAAATAGTCCCTACATCATCGGAGCAACAAAAGGAGAAAGATGGCATTGCAAACACGGATGTTCCCAATGACAATAACATGCCTAAGTGTAAGTTTTCGCCTCTTTCTAATTATAAACTGATACCCCCTTTGCCTCATGATTTAGAAGGATATAGGAAAGGTGAATGAGATCATGAGCTTTATGATACTTTTCGTAGATGCGAGATAAATATTCAACTTATAGATGTTATTAAACAAATACCTCGTTATGCTAAATTTTTGAAACATTTGTTCAAGAGTAAGAGGAAGCAAAAACTCAAGGGATGTGAAAAGGTAAACATTAGGAAGAATGTCTCCGCAATTATTCAAAGAAAAATCCCCAAGAAGTGCCTGTACCCAGGTATGTTTACTATCCCTTGTACGATGGCGACACTACTTTGAAAAAGCCATGATAGATTCAGAAGCTTCTATTAATGTCATGCCATATTCTATATACGCTTCTTTGAAACATGGACCTTTAAATGAAACGGTGTTGTGATCCAACTAGCTGACAACTCTAATGCCTGTCCTAAGGGTTTAATTGAGGATATTCTTATGATCAAACTACCCCCCATCTTGCTAGGAAGACCATTCTTAAAGACATCCGAAACTAAGATAGATGTTCATGATTGCACACTTACTATGAAATTTAATGATAAAATTGCTAAATTCATATGATTCCACAAAATGACCTAATGATGAAAATCCTGTTTACTCTATTAAAGTGATTGATAATTTAGAATAGAAAATTTTAGAAACTGATGAAAATAATGCAGTGAAAGTTGCCATTGATAAGCATATGAAGGAGGTGGATCAAGAGTTACCTTCGAATATTGCCTTACAGGAAACCATTGTAGCATTGAATGCTTCTCTAAAGTCAGGTAAAGTTTGCATAGTGTTTTGTCAATTTCTAACAAGAGATATTTCTATGCAGGTTTCCAAATGGAGGAGGTGAGAACATGGGGCCTTGGAAATCCAATTGATGCTGGTTGAAGAAGGAAGCAATAAAAGTCTAGCCAAAGAAAATAAACAAAGGCGCCGCTTGGGAGGCGACCAAAGGAGAATTCGTTCCGTTATCTTTTTATTTTTATCTTTTTACATTCATATGTTTGGTTGATGTTTCCTTTTCTTTGCATTTTACCTTACATTGGAGAGAATGTAAGTTTTAAGTGTGGGGGAGGGAATTTAGGTTGAGTCTAAAATTTTCAGTTCATATTTTTGTGTTTATTTTTGACTTTTTGATCAAACTTCAATATAAGAGAAGAAAACAAAGTGGTTTTGAATGATTTTAGTTGTGTGCGCTATTTGCTAGATTCATTTAAACTTCTAAAGAACTCATAACATGATTGAACGGATTATCTCACAACTTAGAGTTAATTAGTTAAGTTATTTTCTTTGAGGATGGTAGTAACTAAATTTTGTAGACAAAAAGTCGGTGAGATTTTGAGCCTTTAGACTAACACATCCATATCAGTCTCACTATTTTTCTTTCATGAGCGATATTCTTTCATGGACTTGTTTCTCTAGAACTTGCCTTGATTCTCTTCGAGGCCATATTGATACATGCATGCATGAACATGATTAATGCTATCTTTGTTGCATAAGTTAGCCATCTTTGCGAAATAGCCTACCTAGCAACTAATTTTACCTTTTGTTGAGCCTTTTGAGCCTTATAGCCTTTTCCTTTTGTAAACCTACATTACAAGCTTTAAATCCAAAAAAATAATATCTTTACCCAAGCCATAGAGCTAGTGAGGTATTGTTCTTCATTTTGATACATGGGAGGGCGAAAGAAATAATGGGGGGTGTCTAAAATTTTGGTAAGATTATGATGGTGGAATGGAACATGTTCTCAATTACAATTCATAAATTACAATATTAGTGCAATATTTTGAGTTAAAAAAATCGAAAAAAGAAGAAAAAATTGATGAAAAAGATGAAAGAGAAAAAAGTGATGGAGGAAATAGCTTTCAATGTTACAAAATTATTTTATGTTCATGATTCCTCCGTATATATTACAAGAAGGGATTGGGTTGCGTGAAATAGGCGTAAAGAAGTTGTGAGTGGAGAGATTGATCTTACACTTTTTATGTATACGTTTGAGCTGAGTTAATTCATCTTTACTCCACTAGTTCAATGGCTTTTGTGTCACTTACCCAAATAATTCCCACCTGGACCCTAAGCCACGTTACAATCTATAGAAAAGACCTTATGATTTGTGTAATGCATGTGATCTAATTGGTAGAGAATGAGAAGATATGCGCCATATGGTAGATCATGTTCATTGGAATGAACTTGAGAAAAACGCTTACCCATTAAACACATGAGAGTTGAATGCTTATATTCCATGAGGGTTTACAAGTTTGGTTTACTCCATTTTCATATAAAAGCGCTTGCTATTTGATTATGAGTTGTGTGTGCATGCTTGTTCACGATGTGTTATGTGTCTTAAAGAGTTTGATTGTTCAATTTAATTGCATTACAATTTTGGTATTTTTGGAAAAAATAAAATTTGAGTTTACTCGAGGACGAGCAAAAGCTAAGTGTGGGAGAATTTGACAGGAATGTAAAATGTGATATTTTTCATTCCTTTATCTTATGCTTTTGTTATTAATTAACGTCTAAATGTACAGAGTACCCTTATATTTTGATTTAGATTGCAAATGGATGATGATGGCATAAATTAGAAGAAAAGAGCAAAAAATGACAAAGTGAAAGAAATCAAAAGTTGAAGGACTAAAACGTAATTATCCAAAAGTTGAACTGGAAGGCGAAACGAATGAGTGAAAGATTTGAAGGTCAATTGATGGAAGACTCAAAGTGTTGGAAGAAGGAAAACAAGAAAATAAGCCTAGAAGAGAGAAGATGAAAGTTCAGGGATCAAAGTGCAATAATTGAAATTATTTGATACTGTGCGCGAGGGCGGGATTAAAGTGACGCACGTGCTGACCTCATTCTTGCTTACCAAGATGGGACAAATTTTTTGTGATGGGCCAGTTTCCTTATTTAGATGTAATTTTACATGTAAATAATTTTTTTGACATCATATATATACCTAAAGACACCAGAACAAAGGGGACCTCCTTTTTTATTTAAAAATCTTATATTCTACATATTCTTGGAGGTAAAGAACGCCCCCATTCCCTTCTACTCTATATTTGCTCTTAGAATTGATGATGTACAACTAATTTCTCTCTTGGTCGAAGGATATTGAAGCCTTGAAATTGTTTTCAATTGTGAGATCTTTCTAATTTTCATTGTTTAATTTATATTTTCAGTTTTGAATATTGTTCTATAGTTAATTTCCATGATTGTTATGTTTGATCACTAAAAGGATCCATTAGTTTATTATGCGTTTCAATCTATAGCTAAGTTAAATATCAAATTCATAATTGTTTGATTAATTTAACTAGTGACGCAACTAGGATTAGTAATTTGCTGCTTCGGAAAATTATTAAATCTTAGGAAGAATATTTATCTAGGTTAAATGCAAATGCTTGGCTTGTATTATCTAGTTCATTGATTTTCCAATTCAGAAAGCCATTATTAAATTAAATTCTCGAGCTTGTCTAGAATTGTTTGGTAATGAGGATTAATTAGATCGCTTGTGTTCAATTAATTAAAAGTAAGGAGAAATAGAAAATTGTTTCATGGAAAATTATTTTCTAATGATAAATACTAGAAGTAAGAATTAAGAATTATTTGTGGATCAATGACCAATTGTAAATCTCCAACGGTGGAAGTTGACTTAGATCAGGGTTCGTTCTATTTATTTCATTTAATTTGATAATTTGTGTTTACGTTAATTGCTATTTTTAATAATTGTTTATTTCAAAACCAAAAACCCCTTTTAGTTAGCCCCCATTTTCGGAAAATGAAAATGGGTGGAATAGTATTTTTTTTGAAAAATGAGTGGTTGAAAAGGAAAGAAAAGTTTTCGATTTACGTGTAATATTATTTTATGAAAGATTGTGCGGTTGAAAATAGGAGAGAGAAAAATAGAATATAATGTAATGGAATTTAATGAGGGCCAAATGGGGGTTCAGTTTAATTTGGAGTGCATGCGACAATAGGCACCATATCGTAGTTGTCTGCATGTACAAAATACGAATGTATTAAGTTAACGTTTGATAATGTGAATTATGGGAGAAGGTGATTGAGTATAGCTTAAGGTGTGATTCAAAGATCTAGGAAACTTGTCTGGTTGTGTATGAGAGAGATCGCTGCATAGAAGCTCTTCACCTGGATAAATGATAGATGGAAAATGTAGAGAAAAAAGACAAGATTTGCATATGATTTTATTGGTATAGAAGAAGCTATGATAGTGATATTGTGCCCACAAAAGTGCAAGATTCGTACAAAAACCTAACACTAGTCTCCGTTAGATTTTGAAATATGTAGCAATGCATTTGCATTCAAGTGATAAATATTTCCGTAGGCTACGAGCTTGTATCAACGTTTTGACTTGAGTCATGGATGAACTTTTGAGACACATCCAACTTGAAATTTTTTGTTGGCCGTTATGTGTTGTCGACTAAGTTTTAGTCGACAAGGCTGGGGGGGGTAAATTGGAAGTTAAAAACTTTGGAGTACTTTTGCATCTGAAGGTTTCGATTAAGTAGAAGTAAAATGAAATACGCAACTTATGTAGTTGTCTCTTGCTAGACTTAAAGAAACTCGTGCAAACCAGAGTGATGTGATCCTAGTAGAACAGTTTCTGAGAAGGAGAGCTATGCTAAAATTAGCATGATATGATTGAGGATGAAGGATTTAATTGTATTAAATCTCCCCATAGAGATGGTAATTAATTGAATGGCGTGACCCGAAACGACTTAAAAAAGACGATCTCAAATGTATAGGGAATAGCTCAGTCTATTGTGTACAGGCGTGTTCGATACTCTCCCATCATATACAGAATATGAAATGGTTATGAGTGATGGACCTTGCAGAGGAATTCAATTCCATACCTTTGTTGCTTATGGAAGTTTCATTTGAGGATTAGGGATGTTGAAAGTCTTGATTTTTTTTTCATCTATCCTTACAGCCTGAAAGATCTATAATTTTGCTTTTCAGAATGTTTGTAATTTCTTTGAATATCCATCAATGCTTCCAATGGATTTGTATGTTGGTTGTCTTTAATGTTACAAATGTATAACTATTTCAAGTCTGAAAGAAAATAATGGAAGATTATGTAATACCCCAAACTTCATATTATACATTTGGCCAATATGATTCATGCATTTTTCATGCTAATTACATTGTCATTTAAAATGTATAGAGATTTGAAGCTGCATTATTGGTGGCCGAACATGAAAGGTGAGATAGCCGAATATGTGGGACAATGTTTTACCTATCAACCGATAAAAGCAGAACATCAAAGACCAGCAGGAGCCTTACAACCATTATCTATATCCCAGCAATGGAAATGGGAAAGAATCACAATGGACTTCGTGGTGAAATTACCAAAAACGACTAAAGGATACGATAGTATTTGGGTTATTGTGGATAGGTTAACAAATCAGCCCATTTCATTCCCCTTATTCCATGGACCGATATGCTTAGCTTTATATACAAGAAATAGACAGATTTCATGGAGTGCCACTATCTATTATTTCAGACAGGGATACTAAGTTTTTATCTCTCTTCTGGAGAAACTTACATAAGGCTTTGGGAACGTAGTTATCTTTTAGGACAGTTTATCATTCTATGATTGATTGACAATCAGAAAGAACAATACAAATATTGGAAGATATGCTGAGAGTTTGTCTATTAGACTTCTAAGGCCAGTGGAGTAAATTTATACCTCTGGTGGAATTCACATACAATAACAGTTATCAGGCTACAATTGGAATGACTCCTTATGAAGCATTAAATGGTAGAAAATGTAGATCTCTAGTTTATTGTAACAATGTTGGAGAAAGAAAATTGCTAGGACTAGATATGGTTCGTGAAATGGCTAAAGTTGTGATGCAAATACGTTAGAGAATGCAAAC